TGACAAAGGTTGAATCAACACTGAATGTTGATTTTATTGCTTAAAGATGAAAATGCTCGAGCTTCAAGAGAATTATTCTTTGTTGATCAAAAGATGTATCTCCTTTTGGTAGAAGATAAAAATATCTAAAAAGGGCATCTAATAGATCTTATTATTTTTTAAGTTGATAAGTGATCTTGAAATTGAGTCTATATAAAAACATGCTTCAACATGCTTGACAGCAATTCAAAACATGTGTTAACATGAAGTACTCGAGGTTCTTGTGATCCGTATATATGATGACTAGATTTAAAGTGCCTTCTAGTTAATGATGCCATTCTTGAAATGAATCCACGATTACAAAGAGCTCTTTGTCATGGATCTCATAATTAATCTTGGCTGTTGAAAATTTCCTAGAATGAAAAGCTACTAGGTGGAGTTTGTCATTTGTTCCCATTTGTAACAATATGGCACCTATAGCAAAGTCTGACATGTCTGTTTTCATAAAAAATACCTTGGAGAAATTGATGCAACACAAGATTAGTGCAGGAGTAAACTCTTTCTTTAAGGCATCAAATGATGCTTTTGTTTCTTTATTCTACTCAAGTTTGTCTTTACAAGTCAAACGTATAAGTAGAGTTGTAACTTAAAAAAAGTTCTTGATGAAGAGTCGGTAGTAATTAACAAAGCTTAAAAAACATTGCACATCTTGTACTATTCTTGAAATCTTCCAATCTACGATAGTTTGGACCTTGTTGGAATCCATTATAAGGCCTTTTTTGGAAATGATGTATCTTAAAAAGTCAATTTAAGTAATGTATAATACACACTTTTCCAACTTGGCATATAACCCTGCATCTCTAAGTTTCTAAAACATGCAATGAAGATGAAGTTCATATTCTTTTGTATTCTTAGAGTAGATTAGAATGTTATCTAAATAGCAAATGACAAAATCATCTAAAAAATCACAAAAAATATCATTTATAAGATGTTGAAAAGTAGCTGGTGCATTCATGAGTCCAAAAGGTATGACATTATATTCAAAATATCCATATCTAGTTCAAAAAGTAGTATTCTATTCATCTCCTTCTTTGATATAAAGTAAGTTATATGCTATTTATAGATCTATTTTAGTATAGATCTTTACTTGATTGAGTTGATCAAAAAGTCTTGAAATCAAAGGCAAATGATACTTATTTTTTATGGTGATTTTATTGAGTCCTCGATAATCCACACATATCCGCAAAGATCCATCTTTCTTCCTTACAAATAAGATAGGAGCCCCGGTTGGAGATATAGAATGACCTACAAAAAATTTTGCCAAGTTTTTATCAATGTACTCATTTAATTTAGCCAACTCATTCTGCAATAAGCTATAGATTGGTTCGAATGGTAGTTGAGCTCTTTCGTGCAAATTAATTGAATAATCATAAGGTTGATGTTCTAAAAAAATATCTGCATTCTTCTTTTTAAAAACATCTTGGAATTCTTGATATTGGCTAGGAATATTATTTGATATTTTTCTACCATTAGAAATGGGTGTAGCATATATAACAAAACATGATCCTTTTTTTGCAGCATGCATAAAAGCTCTCGCACCTACTAATAAAAGTTTGGATATACTAGACTTATGTACTTCTACTTCACTAATCCAATCTTAGATTATAGTACTAAAAAAGTTAAGATGTCAAGAAATCCAATCTATTTGAGGGTTATATTTTTCTAGCCACAATAATCCTAAAATAGTTGGATTAGAGGGAGATCTTATTACATTAAATGCTACTACGTTGTTATGAACTTTAATTGCTACATCTAAAGGAACAGTCTCATAGGTAATATTTTCAAAAGACAAGGAATGAACATCTATGACTTCTACATGTATGGCTTCAATTTTCTTGACTAAAGGTATTTTTTGATTTTTGACAAAATCTTCATCTATAAAACAAGCTGAGGCTCTTGAATCTAATAAGACAAAGACTTTGTGATTTTTAGGTCTAAAATTGACATCTATTGTAAAACAAGGTGAGGGGTCTAAGGAGTGAATATGACCTTTAATAGGTATTGCATATGATTCTAGTTACATAGTTCCTATTATAGTTGGATAAACTTATTTTTTGATACATTATCTTCTTTGATAATTGTGCTCCTCATTTTGTAATTGCATTGCTTCTTTGGACAATGCTAAGTAGTGTGCTTAGCTTTTCTATAATATAAACATAAATTCTCTTAGCAACAATGAATCTTTTCCTACTCCATGAGAGGATTAAAAGGTATCATATCAATTTGCATTGGTTTCAGCTTTAATAAATATGTTTAAAAAAACTTAAGAGTTGTCGCCATTACTTGACTTATTCCTCTTTAATCAAGTCTTTGTTCTTGATGCCTTTCAAATAATCGATTGTCACATGCAATGGCTTGAGCAATAAATTGTTCTAAAGATTTTACTTTTGGCATTGTTAATAACAAATCTTTGATGCTATCCTTTAATCCATATCAAAATTGATTGATAAGTGCTTTATCATTTGAGTCCACATAGCAAGCGAGGTTTTGGAATTCAGCTGCATATAAGGTGGTTGATTGTCATCCTTATTGTAAAGATAAGAGTTTGGTCTCTACTACTTCTTCTTGATCACTTTCTTCAAATGTGGTCATGAACACTTCTAAGAATAAATTTAAATCATAAAGAAATCATAAATCTTTTTCCATCAAAGGTACAAACCAAAAAAGAACACTTCTAGATAGAAGTGTGTCTATGAAGCTGACTTGAGTAAATCCATCCGTGTATTGGAAAGGGTGTAACTTTAAGTAAAGCTTAACTTGTTATAAAAACCCTCAAAATTTTGATTTTGTTCCATCAAACTTCTCAGGTATACTAATTCTCGCCTCTCTTGAGCTTATAGAAGCAAGACCCCTTGAATTTGGCTGTGAGGCTCATCGACTTCTTTCCCTCAATTGCACAACTTCTTGACATAGACTCTGAACTTCTTCCATAGGTATAGAAATAGTGCTTCTATAGTTGACATTAGTGATGTATGAAATTTCTGCCCTGAGAGTATTGACAACCTCGTGAAGATCCACAATAGTTGCAAAACTATTCTCACTTCCGCTAGGAGTAGCATCCATAATCTTTCTTTTAGAGACAACTCAAAAAAATCCAAAAAATTAAATTAGAGGAGGATAATCTGCAACCTCTAATAAAAATTTCCAAAAAGATGGATAATCCACTTTTTTTAAGAAAAAGATCAATGTTAAAAAACAAGATTTTTTTGTTTATAGGTGGGTAGTCCGCAACCTTCAGAACACAACAATAGAAGTGAGATAATCCACTCACTTCTAAAACAAGACAAAAATAGTATATTAGCACTCTTATCAAACTGTCAAGGACATGAATCTCGAAGAAAGAAAATCCTTAATATACTCATGTAACACTGAAAGGAACTAAAAAGTCACTCAAAGATAATATAATATTGAACTAGAATGGCTATTGCCAAAAACAAGAAGATTAGAAAGTCTTGGAACAAGACTAAAGACTAAAAAGGTATTGACAAGAATAAAGAAGGCTTTACTCTTGCCTCCATATATACTCTTAACTAGGAGCTATATAGCGATGTCCTATAGGACCTCCAAAACGTGTTGACTTTGCTAGCTACATGTCTTAATTTGTAATGCAAGTTATCTATGTATGCGCCACATAGTTAGCTTGTTCCACAAGCTACCACATGGAGTTAACTTGTTCTACAAGCTACTACATGGAGTTAACTTGCTCCACAAGCTACTAATACATGATTATCTTGTTGGCCAAGTTTCTAACCTACAAATACATCTAAAATCAAAATTACATCTATGAAGCTTCTAAAAAGCTTCTCTATAAGATTTTATGAAATTAATCTATATTTACCTACTTCTATCTAATCATACAAGTAACTATTGGGATAAATATATATATATATATATATATATATAGATTCGTGACAAAAAGCCAGACTTATCTAAAATCAAGTTCTTGACAAGTAATCCCTGAGTTTGGTGAATTGCAAATGTGGTCAATTCAATTGTCTATTTGCATTCAAGTCTTGGGTTCATTCACTTTAAAAGGAATCATACAATTTCTAATGTAGGGTGTAATTGTGATGGAATTGCTAAGCTTCATACAAATATATTGATAATCAACAGCCTAAAAAAGATTGGATATGTTGTAAAGTACTTCTTTAATAACCAATAGTCTTGGAAGAAACTCACATTTATAGTCCACCATTTGATGGAGTTGGGCAAGAAATATGGAATTGAAAAAAGAGATATAAGATGGGAATGGGAATGAAGGATAGGGATCTACTATTGGTTATGATGGTAAGGTCGAAGTAATTATAAGTGGGGTCAATTTAAAATTTAGATATAAATATATATATATATATATATATATATAAACAATTTAATGTAAAGCAAAGTATGGATGTTAAGTATTTTGAATTAGTATATATATATATATATATGAACATGTGTGTGTGTTCTCAACCTTAACATATCAAATTTATTTAATTTATCAAATTGAGGTTGTGGAAAGAGAAAGTAAGAGAATTTATCATCCAAATCAGTATCTTGGTTGAGAATCAAGAATAATAAGTATTTAAGTTGAAAAGAGAAAAAAAATCATCGCCCATGAAATGACAAATAGGCATTCTTTGTCTATATCTTGAATTTTTGTCTCACTCACTTGAAACCCATCCATCCTTCCTTCTTCTTGTCCCCATTCACAACCTTCCAAAAAGTAATGGCTATGCATCTTTAAATCACAGTAGGGCTGAGCCCATTGCCGCGGTGGTCGCTGGTCGTTGCCGGACGGAAGGAGACGAGGACGACGGTAATGACAGAGACGGCGATAAGTGTGACGACGACGGCGGCGAAGGGGGAGGGTGAGGGGCTTGATTCAAGGGAGGGAGTATGCAAGGGAGGTAGCATTGCGCACCCCAGTGAGCTAGCTCTCTATCTTTGCCCATGGCAATCCTCCTCCTCCTCCTCGGTGCCCTTGTTGCGCCTGGTTTCGTCGTTTCTCTCACTCCTGCATCTGCTGGTGTTGGTGCTGCTGGTGTGGGTGCTGCTAGTGAGGGTGCTGCTAGTGAGGGTGCTGCTAGTGAGGGTGCTGCTGCTGCAGCATTTTTGATGTTCCAAATTCTCTTCTTCATGTGCTTGTCCAGCTTCACAGGACGGGACGTACTACACCAGGATCCTCCTCTCTGGGGCGCTGATTGGACTCCGGGCCCAGATCTTCCCTCCTCTGTGCGCCTGCTTGACCTAGCACCCCAATTGTGGGTGCCCCCTTGCGATGTAGTGTCTGTCTCCTCGAATAGTACCAGCCGTCCTATGGATTCACAGCTTCGGCAGTTTGTATCTCGTCCACTAGAGGAGGACTGCGGTGACCTTTAATCGTGCATATGGGATATTTTGGGTTGTGAAGATGTGGAGATCCCAAGCAGGACTGTTTTCGCAGGTTTCCTAGTGCTGCTGGTGATGGAGATGCCGAGCTCAGGATTGCGATTTTAGTGGACATCCCGTGACGTTGCACCACTGCTGATCGGAAGAGAGAACGGGGGCAGGGAAGGATTAAGGTGTGGATTGTTGGTCAGGTGTCTTGGGGTTATGTATCGGGCCGCTCCGTTGCAGCACGCTGCCGCAGGGTATCGTCCGCATGGCCAGGCTGGAATCTGGCTGGTCGTGGTTCTTCTCATCTCTTCGCTCTGGTTGGGTACGCTCTCTCATTCATGTATCCGAGCGAAAAGTGACGTGGGACTTTGAATTGGAGAGACCTTATTCTATTTGCTGAGTCCTCGAGAATGTGTTAAAGTACTGGTCTTGATGTTGACCTTCGGATTGAAAAAAAAGTAAAAATTAAAACTGTACTTGAAGATTAAGCAAGCGATCATTGTGTTGACTGCCTTGCCACTTTTTCCTGTTTCTCTAAGGACCACTTCGGGGTACTTCACGCTTAGGATGTGCAATCCCCTGGTGCGTCTACCGAAGATGTTTTTTCATATTTTTGAATGCTCGTTGATCCTAGTTAATATTGCTTCACATATTAGTCCAGTATAATGACAATTTGAAGTTATCCCTGTCGCGCTTCGTAGTTTGCTGAATTCACAATAGGTGTTGACAAGGCCATGTATTAATATGATTTTCTGATGGTTGCAGAATGCAATGCCAAGAAGCCTTTAAAACTACTGTTAGGAACTGATCAGGTTCTGAAGAATGTGACTTTGCCAGTACAGAATGTTTGTCTAAAGAGCATCGTCCGTCAGAAGCAAATTGACTACTACAACATCGACGTTTCAGGTTGCTTTGAGGATCCTGACTTTGATTTCGATTACTTGGAGGTAGCGGCACGAATATATCAGACGTGTGATGACAGTCAGGAGTGGTCTGTGCTTGTGAATACTGAAGGGGAGCTGGTTCCAATTGAGGATGCGAGGGCTTCGAAAGATGGAACTTTCGTGGATTTCATAGGTTAGTCATTGATACATTTGGGATGCATTTCATTATGGGCAACTTATGTGTCCCTAGAGATTGTGCTGGACCGTGATGAATCTACTACTTGATGGACATGTTTTCACTTGATGTTAACTTAAGCTCGCATCATTTGCTCTTGTTTGCATTTCAGATGCGCAAAGTAAGGAATACTCTGGGCATTTGAGTATACCTCTACGTCAAAATGCTAGCCAACCCTGGATTGCCGGTTTTTACAGCAGCTGTGGTCCTCTACTGTATCATCTGAAGGCTTGGTGCTCAGGTACGACTATTCTGGCATGTCGAAGTTACATCGGGTGGCATGTAAAATAATAGCTAGAACTCTAGGAAACAGCTGCGTTTGGGCGATTTGCTCTGATGCAACTTGGAGCGTACTCCTGGAGTCCAAGAACAGAACATCCTTTTAGAACCATTGTACCTGATAATGAAGCTGATGTGGTTGTTGGAATTTGGTGCAGTGGGTAAAGATTGCAACTTAACTTGCAGTGCCCCTGAAAGAGGACCTTGCGTAAGCTTTGGGAACTGTCGATGCACTCAGGGCAGCGAAGGATATTGTGATTTAGGTTAGGGTTTCATTTCTAATCTTGTATCAATGTCATTATTTTAGCATGGCTCTGTGTTTGGTTATGTGTACATATGTATGGTTTCAATGCTTGGAAATATTGACCAACATTTATATTTTCAATTTCATGGGGTATGTTTGAACACGAGGTGCTTTTTGAGCTCGTATTTGACCCGCTTACGAATCTTTTCTGTATTATTTTGACTTTTTATTGTGCAGTCGTGGAAGATTTGCCAGGGAAGAAGGACGTGATAACAAGAAATGGGTTTTTCCACCTTAGCGACACAGTTAAGTCTGGGACGTGGATGTATTTCCGGTTTCAGGTAGGGTTATCCTCTCACACTCGGTATAGTTGCGTTTACGAACAATTATCATGCTCTACTTGCTTCTTGGTTAGGCGCTTGCTTCCTCTTAATGCAGAGTCAGAAAGTTCAATTTTTTTGTTATCTGAACGAAGTTAGTGTTACATTGTATCATATTGTTCTTTGTTCGCAAGGCATACTTATCTGCGCTCAATGGGGACGAATTACACACTTTTCGAATTTGTATTAATAGCAGTAGTAGTGCGCATGTCTGTGTAGAGAAATTAACGGGCTTTAATCATGTACATCCTGCACCCTGAACTGGAACTCTGGGTCTCAGGGTACTTAGAATGGACTTAGAAAGGTGAGGGTAGAAGTATGCTTGCTCCCTCAACTGATATTAGGTTACTGGTAAATGACACAGTTTAGTTATTTATCAAGGACAAGGGAAATACTTGGTATCCTGAACATCCACATGGCATACATCAATGAAGAATTAGTTAGGGGCTGTGAACAAATGTCGAAATTGATAGTCAATAGATCTTTTAATCATTTGAGCTCTTAGATGTTGGGTCTCGGAACCTCAATGCCCAAGCGTTTGAGCATAACTTAGACTTGGGCGGTGGGGGTGCCTGGACAGCTCCTTCTCAGGTAGACTTCATCTAAATGAATTTTTTGGGGAATCTTCAAGGTGGACATGCGTAAAGCCACTAATCTCCCGAAGCAGTTTTCACCTGGAGCTTCCTGGTTGCAAGTACTACGTTTGTTCAATTCTTCAATGAGGGATTCTGGTAATGGGTCTGGCAATGTATATTACGTGAACATCTCTATTTATGTGTTATTGATTAGGCATCAAAATTATCGTACGCAGACAACAAGTAACGCCAGTCGCTCATTGGTAGAGCTGGACAGAGCGTATGGTGATGTGATTCTTTTTGTGAAACCTCAAGACAATGAAAGCGATGACCCATTGATGGAGTCATTGCCAATTGAACGGGATGCACTGAATTATGCTGATCTTCCGAGCTATCAAAACCGACTGAGCCATCACTATCTTTTTGTAAATGGTTCTGGAAAATTTTATATTGGAGTGTACAATTCAGATACATGTGTCGAAGAAGACTCGATCTTCAATTTGACTGTGACTATATCCACTCCAAACGATCCAGTTAACTTGTGCCCCTTGAACTGTTCATATCCCCAAGGACATTGCGTGAAAGATAATGTGTGTAGTTGTGAAGTTGGTTACGGGGGAACCTACTGTGCGTCATGTGAGTGTTTAAAGCTCATCTCCTTTTCGGTCGTTCTTTGCAAGTTGCCCTGTAGATTGTACGTCATCTTTCTATCTGGATAGTTGTATTCGAATGGCATTGGTTGCTGATATAGTGTTCATTGTTTGATTTGCAGTGCTTTGGCAAGCTGCTGCACTCCAGGCATATAGTGGTCAACTCTTACCTGGAGAGTGGGCTTACATCAATATGACTATTAATCAGGTGTCGGACGATCGGAATGTTTCCGTCTACTTCAGCTCGACAGGACATTCTATTCTATTGGCTCAGCAAAGTCGTTATCCAACATTAAAAGATTTTTATTTCAAGTTCACCAATTCTACTTTGGATGCCACACCTTCTGGTACATATGAGGTCAGTGGAGATTCTCTGAGAGGTGGACTGATCCTTGCAGTCTTCAATATCGATTACAAGCACAGAGGAGTATCTGAATTCGAAATCGTCTTGTTAGGTAAGTTCCAAAGAAGCAGAACAATTATTGTCAATGTTGCGTACTATCAATGGGCCCAAGTTTTATGGTATGCCTAACCGATTTGACATTATCTCTTCCTTGTCTGCTATTATTATGTATTTGCTCATGATGAGTAATGATTTTATGTCGTGCATATGTTTAACATGCCCTCAAACTTGTAGGTGTAGTACTCAAACTCATATCAGTACGAACCTAATAGAATTGCAACTTTATGAACTTGAGGGTAATAGAGTGTGCGATGTGATTGGTTCTGGAATAAATACTGTTTTGTTTTTGAAATAAGCCGCAACTTTGTAACATACCCTGACTAATCGATTTGATTGCGGCTTCGTTGGTCTTGTCTAGGCACGCGGAAAGGACTGGGCATATGGATAATCATCCTTGCGGCTCTGGGAAGTTCAATAATCTTACTCACAATAATAGCAGCTGTCAGACATTTTCTGCAGATGCGAGGACAAATTGTTGCCGAATTAGGTCGGATGGATTTTGAGGCTACAGCACAGGATACGGTATGTCTCCCATACCAGTAATCACTTGAATTTTGGTTTTGTGTCTGGATTGTCACACACTTCTGTGAAAACTAATTTTTACACTGATGTATGAAAAAAATTCTTTGCTATTATGAAAAATATTACCATATTCTTGTTCTCGAACTTTGTTTGAACATTGCGTTAAATGCGACAGGAAACGTCGGAAAAGCGTGTTCAGGATAGAGTGCTGATAAGCACGTTACCATTGATAGCTTACCAGCAAGGAATGTTACCCAAGGAGGACTCTGGGTACGTCTCAAATTGCATCTAGAATAATTTTCTGTGTGTTCTGGGTGCAGCGACTGCTGGGTTGTGCTCTCATGGTACTTAGTCATTTTAATTATCGTGTAAAAGAATCTCGGTGTTGGCTTTATATATTATGTTTATTCATGTGGGATGATCCGAAATTGTTTGCAGGTGCTCGATATGTTTAAGCAGCTATAGCATTGAGGAGATTGTGTGTAGGTTACCTGGCTGTAATCATATCTTTCATATACGATGTCTTGAAAACTGGTTCCAGACTGATGATAGCTGCCCTTTGTGCCGGGTGCCTGTGAGCAACTCGTCTCCTGAGTCAGAGATTAGGCCATAGTAACGACCTGTAATATCTGACGATTTACTTGGGATGGCCTCATACGACCAAACTCCGTTCAACAGTTTAGTTCAAAACATGAAGCCTCAAAGAAAAACCTACTGAGATCTATGTGCCAAAGGATAATCAACCATTTTTTTGGTGAACGCAATTCTCTTGGTTCAGGAGACTACTTTAATTTGGAGAATTTCTGACTCTCTTTCTGATTTGTGTACCAATCAAAATGAACTTCAGGAAGGCAACTTGTCTTTTGTCTCCAAGTTCCAGCTCTTGTCAATTTTCCCGGACATTACAAGGTAAATTGTATGTACTATAACAATGCGAGTTAACATTGGGGAGCTTGAGTTTGCAGTTTGCACCAGCTCATAAATTGTCACTCTTGTATCTTTCTCATGAATATGAGGAATTAAGGAAGTAAAGTTCAACTTCTGTGCCACTTATGTGTTTGTCACGTGTTTGACGTTACAATTCCAAGAGCAAGTCATCAAAGTTAACATGTTCTTGTACAAATAATCTGAACTAGTAATTATCTAAATTTCAATTAGTTTTAGTGTTCCATATTACTCATTTTTTTAATAATATTTGACATTCATCAATAGTCTGCGTTTATACTTAAAGAATGAGACCTGAAATTTCAACATTTGTTACAATCTATTGTGCATAAAATGGTACACTTACCTATTTGGAGATTTTAGCATTACAATGGTTGTTATTTTCTGAATCCTTCTGAGAGCGATTCTTTAATTATCCAAGTTTCCAAGCTAGAAAGGTATCATGTATTATCTGAGGGACAATGAATTGGTGTATTGGTTTTATTGTACTCTCTAATTTGAAAAGAGAGTTAAAACACTATCAGTAATTAGTAGTTGAATTAGAGTACCTTTTTTATTTGTGTATCATCTAAGTCATCCTCATTGTTAGCAACTATATATGTTTTGTTCAATATCCATATAATTATTTCTTCATTGCATTGTTTATTACTCTATCATAAAAATAAATAAATAAATAAATAGATTTATATTTCTTTTAATACAAGTATTACTTTTGTTAAAATAATTAATCATCGAATATAATTTATTGTCTTAAAAATTTGATATGAAAGTAAATAGACATAAATATATATTTAAAAAAATAGATAACATGTATTAAAAATATGATTAAAATATTTCAAAAATTATATATTATATTTCTACATTTCAAAAAATGATGAAATTTAACATATCTTTTATATGATTTATTATTATTGCAATAAAAATAAAATAAAACCTAATTTAATCAAAAAGATATCTTGTATATTAAAAAACAATGGTGTTTATTTATGTTCATCTATCCAAATCATCATTTGTCATTTACGTGTTTATTTAACTATTTATCCATATGGGCAATAATTCAAATCATTTGTTAACTACTCTTACTTTTATTTTTTTGTTGAATACATCTTTGACTTTTTTTTATGGATCTCTTGTTTTGGCTTAAAATTTGCAATAAAAACCTATATTCATACAACTTGTAGAAGAACCACCATGTAATTCCAATTTGCCTATACCAAAACTTTGTAAACTTGAAGTAGACCAATACTTCAAGAACTACGAGCTTATAAAAGAATTTCTAGGTTTAGAACACTTGTGAAAGAGTCTATATGTATATGCAAGAGTTGTTTGCAACCCCTTTCATGACCTAACAAATCTTTTGGATACTTTCTCTATAAGTTATGATATATGCAAAAAATTGTTATTGTAATTCTACAATTTTCTTTCAGTTGACTTAGTAGATGGATACATAATAGGTGTTTAATTGGGCAATTCCATTACTCTTTCTTAGAATCCAATGATTGATTACAATTATGAAACAACATTAAACGTACACATTTAATGTAGATAATGAAATCATATTATGATTGTGCTTCTATAAAAGCCTTTTCACACATGATGTAAAAATAAATATCTTTTTTTTATTATTAAGATTTGATAGTTGGTTATACTTAGTCTTATAGTGACATTAATATGTACACAAATATAAATAACAATATTATATTAAGGTTGTGTATTCATGAAATCTTTATAACATCAATAATAACTTTGAAGATATCATATTGAGAATGTTGTTATGAAAGACTAATATTCTATGTGAAAGAATTAAAATACTTTATTCTAATTTATATTGATTTATAGAATTTAATTAGTTCTTAAATCAAGATATTATAACTTTTAATTTGATGGCCATTAAAAATAAAAATAAAAATAAAAATCTAATAATATAATATAAAATAATTAAAGATGCTCTAATTTTTTTAATTTATAAGAAGATGACGATGTTAATGAAAGTTACTTAATTTGAGTTATAAAACATGTTTGATGATGATAATGAAATAAATAACTAAATAAATAAATAATTTAATATTTTTAACACTATATTAAATAATAATTGATTAATAAATTTTTTGAAGTTTATGTCAAGGATATAAATCATAATAATAAATTAAATAATTAATATATTATTATTATAATAATAAATAAAAATTAAAAAATTAAAAAAAGATATAGGATAAAAATTAAAATAACTATTATCAAATATAAAGAAAATAGAGATGCTTGAGCTAAGACAAGAACACACAAAATATTGACAAGAGTAAGGCATGCCTTTCTCTTACTTCTATATATATTACTGTCAAAGACATGAACCTAAAAGAACCAAAAGAACAATACATTCTTATGTCATTCGAAAAGACTAGAAAATCACTCAAAGATTATATAATATTAAACTAAAATGGCTATTGCTAAAGATAAGAAGACTAAAAAGTCTTGAAACAAGCCTAAAAGCTAAAAAAGCATTGATAAGAGTGAAGAACGCTTTACTCTTACTTCCATATATATTATCTAATTAGGATCTACTTAGCAATATTCTATATGACTTCTAATATGTGTTGACTTTGCAAGACATATATGATAACTTATAAGACAAGTTTTTAATATTTGTGCCACAAAGTTAGCTTGTTTTACAAGCTACCAGCATGTGTGATATGTAATTAACTTATCAACAAAGTTTTTAATCTATCAAAGAACTACAAATACATATAAAGTCAAAACTACAACTATAAAGCTTTTAAAAAGCTATTTTAAAAGATACTATAAAATTAACATATTTTTATCTCATTCTACATAATTATATTGATAATTATTGAAATATATATATATATATATATATATATATATATATATATATAAGACATTATCCTCCTTTCTAAGATCAAGTTTCATAAGGAGCAGTCATCATCTTTCATGAATCTTGCTATTCTTCATCATAGTTTTGATTGATGTTGTCAATAAAAAGCTTCGATTCTCTTTCTTGCATTTGCAAAAAAATTTGTTGGCTTCCATGTGCATTTACTAGTATCATATCTACATTAATGAATAAGATATTCTAACTTATTTTAGTGCCACCTTGAATCTAAGATTTTTTCTAAGTCAAACTCTTGTTTATTAATTACTTCTATAATATAAAGTGACATTTGTCTTCTTCTCGAGATATTAACTGTCTTATATGGCTCAAGAAGAGATACATGGAATATAGGATGGAACTTCATTGAGTCTAGTAAATGTAATCAATTAGTAATAGGATTGACTTGTTCTTAAATAGGAAAAGATCTATACCTACAATAGTCCAACTTGTTATAAGGGTAGCTAATCTTCATTTTACAATAAAATAATCATACTTTATTATCTATGTAGAATTGAACTTGTTCTTTGCAATAGGCATTCGCATTGGACTTTTGTTAATCATGAGCTTCTTTTAAATATGTCTTTATTGTTGTATGTAGCTCTGATAAATGATTTATCAACTCTTCTACTGCAGGATTATCAACTATTAAAAAATCAAATATATGAAATCATAGATGATAACTATAATTGACAAATAAAGGTATTTATTATATAGAAGAATGTATCAACTTATTGTACACAAACTCTACCAATAGCAAAAGAGTTGTTCAATTAACTTGATGGTAATTGATGGTAGACCTCAAATACTATTCCAAAACTTAATTCATCTATTCTATTTGTCTATTAGTATGAAGATGAAAGACCAAAGATAATTTCATATCTATCTTGAATATCTTAAAAAAGGTTTTCTAAAATTGTAATACAAATTGTGTCCCTTTATTTAATATAATATCCTTTGATAATCCATCATAGTAATAGATATTGTCAAGAAAAAGCTTAGCTATTTTTTCACCAATAATAGATTTTATACATGATACAAAATAAACCATTTTGGTAAAGCAGTCTATGATGAAAAATATAAAATCATATGAACTTTAATTTAGAAGATCCATAATAAAATTCATAGAAACAATAAATTATGATTGTTTTGATTTAGGGAATGGTTGAAGAAGTCCATAGGATTGATGAAGAGAAATTTTTGACTTTAAATAAATGTCACATATTATACAAAGTCTTTCACAACCTTCTATATTTGTAGCTACTAAAAATCTTTAGGTATAAGTTCTAAAGTCTTGTTGTATCCAAAATGTCTTATTGCTTGAAAATTGTGACATGCTTGAAGAACATGTAAACATACTTCTCTTTTTGGAAGATATATACAACCTTCAAAATATAGTAGATTTTTTTTGAAATCAAATTTAAAAGTATCATGAGACTTAGAAGAAGTATTTTTGATATCATAAATAAGAAGTTCAAAAGGCATACTTAATTGAATTTTCTTGACAAAGGTTAAATCAATAGTTAATATTGTTTTTATTACTCAAAATAAAATTACTTAAGTTTGAAGATGATAATTCTTTATTGTTCAATAGATGCTTTATAAGTCCAAAAATCATGACATTATATTTAAAATGTCCATACTTAATTCAAATAGAAGTCTTTTATTCATCTCATTCTTTGATGTGGACTAGATTGTATGCTCATATAAATCTATTTTTGCATAAATCTTTGTTTAATTGAATTGAACAAGAATTTATGAAATTAGAGATAGGAGATACATATCTTTAATGGCGATTATATTAAATCCTCGATAATCTATGCATATTAGCAAAAATTCATCTTTTTTCTTCACAAATAAGATAGGAGCTTTTGTTGGAGATTTTATATGGTGAATGAATTTTTTAGACAAGTTCTCGTCAATACACTCCTTTAGTAGCCAACTCATTTTATAATAAATTTCAGATTGATCCAAATGGTGGTTGAGTTCCTTCTTTCAAATCAATTGAATAATCACAAGGTCAATACTCTAAACAAATATTTACATTCTGCTTTAAAAAACATCCTAAAAATCTTGATATTAGCTAAAAGTACCACTTGATATCTTATCATCATCAAAAATGGATATAGCGTATATAGCAAAAGATGATCTTTCTTTTGTTATATGGATAAAAGCTTTCATACCTACTAATAAGGATTTGAATGTACTACTTAATTAACA